TTTCTCATGTATATCAACTTTAATGATTTCTTGTTATCACTATCAACATGTAGAGTTTGGAACCGGGTTTATTTTTCATATATTAAAACCAATTAAACCCGGTTTTAACATATAAAAATAAAACCGGTTCCAAACTCTATCAACATGAATATAAAAGCGATCGAAATGGGGTAATATTAGAGAGGGTCAAATGCATTTCATATATTATTAGATGCAATTTGACACTATCTTTGATATATCAAAAATCGCATACGTATAAACTACTTTTATCTTTAACAAAGCTTTTCTTTGAGCAATTTATTATATAACACGTTAACATCTAACCTAATATAAACCCTAATCCTCGCTGCATACGATAACGTGAGGTGAAATTTTGGTGGTAGTGTTGTTGAATTATTCATACTAGTGTTGTTAAATTAATGGTCGACCAAAAATTTGCAGGTCAAAATGGTCTGGTCAAACTGGTCAAATTGGTCAAGTCTATTATCGTTATATGACCAATTTGACCAATAAAATTTTTAACCATATTTATTTATGGATAGGACTAATCAGTGCCCCGTGCACTCAGTGCCCCCTATTATAAAATTGCTAAATATCTCAAAATTTTGACTAGATAACCCCTGTCATATAACATAAGCAAAAATGTTCCTCTCGCAATTTTACCTTACCCTAACCCTAAACCTAACTTTAATTCTAACCTTAACCTAACCTAACCTAATTATATTGCAGGCTCAATTTTGCTATGGGGCACTGAGTGCACGGGGGCACTGTTTAGATTTTTCCTTTATTTATTATCCGGGTAAAGTTTTTTTTAAAAGTTTATAAAAATTTTTACATACTTTTTAATATATAAAATTTTTTGAAAATAAATTGTAAGTTAGGTTATTTTTTTAAATTTTATGAGAACCAAAAAATTAACTTTGTATAGTCTTACTATTTGGGTAAGTGCCGCAAAAAAGAAAAAAACAATCTTCAGAAAATCAATTTTGTTATAAATTTTATAATAAATCATAAGATACAAATTTTAAGAAAAAATATTGCAAAATTTTATTAATACAACTACCTTTGTGTCTTAAATCCAGATCTTATTCTAATTTTATATTTTAAAAAATTTGCCAATTTCCCCTTTTTGCAGCATTTGTAAATCATCATTTAAACCCGATTTACTCAGAATGATTTACAACATGTAAAGATGGGATGTTTTAATATGTAATACCCCATATATGAATGCGTATTTATTCAACCTTAATTCTGACCCATTTATAAAATCCGTTCACGGTTAGTTCGATATTAAATGACATGTGTTGCATTTATTAACATTAATTTAACAAATTTGATTGGTTTTTGAGTTTGACACTATCGATCGAAAGATGTATATTTAGGTTTTAACTATGAATCCAAATTAAGTAGAAGTTCCAATTCCCAAACTCAAATCACGTGGTAATGTCAATTCCAAAAAAAAAAAGGATTTGAACCGCAACTTTAATCGTCATCTTCGTCATTTTCATGTACATTGTTCCATATAATCTCTAATTGACGAATCATTGTTTCTTTTCCAGAAGGTCTGATACCATATTTTGCCACTTCCACCTGAGTAATATATATATATATATATTAACATTAAAAATTCGAAACTAAACATATTAAATTACATACCTTCAATTCAGGAATTGACATTCGTTGATAATTTGGCTTTTTTTTTTCGTTACTAATTTGTTCTGTTAGTGGTGGAAGGACGTTGTATATCGTAGGGTTTGTCTGAGAAATTGAGGTGGCGTCATCATCAATTATCGTGAAATCCGTTAGAACATTCGAAACTGTTTTGGTACCAACTGATGGAGAATACGTCAATATTCCGTCGCAATCATAAGCATCAGGATCAAGATCGTGAAACGAAATTGAAAGTGGAGATATAGATTGAACAGAAATAGGTGTCTTATTAATCTTATTAATACACATAATTTCTAAACTTTTTTCTAAATCTACAAGGGATATTTCTGTTTTGTCCGCTTGCTTAGAATCAAGGGATATTTCTGTTTTGTCCACTTGCTTAGAATTAATTATTGAATTCTGTTTATATAAATTCGATAATTTCCAATTTCGTTCACGAATCAAATCTTTTATCTTTAAAAAATATTTTTTTGTTAGAATAAACGCGTCTTAAAAATATAGTGGGTTAATGTAGCATGAATATACCTTTTCTTCATGACTCTTTATTAATTCATTAAGATCTCGCGTAAATTCAGCTTCTTCTTCTTGAATTTTACGGTGATAATCTTTAATAATTAATTCAGAATCTTGATCGAAAAAGTTGTCTGATTGTTCCATATAATGCTATTCAATAAAGGAAAAATAAACATAATTTCTAAAGGGTCACATAGAAATCGCGTATAAATAATATAATTTACTGTCGACAGTAAGTTCACATGACAAACAGGAGCGACCGTCATCATTACACAAATTGCAGATCACTTCCGAGATCCTCTCACCCAATCAAAATTACGAATTTTAAGGATAGTATTGATACGAAATCGAACGAAATTTGAATTAAAATTGTCAAAATTTTATATTTTAACTTTAGAGTAAAATACCTTAAACATTACAAAAATAACTTAAACATTACTACAAGATAGAAATATGTGTCTTCATATATTCAATTAGCTAATTAACTATTAATTATTATTTATAAAAAAATCTTTATTTTGCTTTTATATTCAAACTACATCTAATTTTAAACTCAATTAATTCAACTATTATTTTACTAGTATCTATATATCAATATTTATATTCTAGAAAATATATTCAGCTCAAATTTTAACTATATAAGTACATGTTTCTCATAAGAGTATAGACATTTATCAGGTAATTTCTGTCTTTTAAGAGAGTATCTCCCTCTCCTACCTGATACTAACTAGCCAATCAAATTTAAGTAAATTTTATATAGTCTAATACTTATACATATAAAATTATTAGTAGTTATTCTATAGTAAAGTCAAAATTTTATTAAGTAAATTAACAAAGCTTATTAAGTAAAAGTTGTTTAGAAAAGAAAAATACATATATTTTAAAAGTTTTATCTAAATTGGAAAACTTTTTATTAATATATTTTTGCATATTATGTTCAATAAAAAATATTTTATATAGTCTAATACTTATATATATAAATTATCAATAGTTATTCTATAGTAAAATCAAAATTTTATTAAGTAAATCAATAAAGCTTATTAAGTAAAAGTTGGGATGTTCTATAGAATAGGTGGGTAAATTTCACAAACTTTGCAAACTCTGCAACTCTGCTATTAAAAAATTAATGATTATTGGTAAAACTATTGAATCTTACTTTTTTGCATTAGAAGGTTATAGTAAAAAGTAAATCTAAATAAAAGATACCCTGATAAAGATAGAAAAAGACAATTTATAGATAAACTACGTACTGAATTCTATATCTCTGTTGAATCTTCTATGTCTGAAGATTTACATAATGCTATTAAAAAAGCTAAAGCTGTTGAAGTAGCTTATTCTAAAGACAATACTTTCTCAGCCTACTTATTATTACTTGCTATATACCAACTATACTTCTTTGGTTATATTGCTTATACTTTTGAAATAGATATTAAAGCTTTAATTGTTACACAAACCAAAAATTTGTGACTAAAATTATTAAACAATTAAAACCAGTTAATAGAAATATCTTTAGACAAATTAATAATAACAATAACAACAATTAGAACAATCAAAATAATAATTAAAATAACAAAAATAATAAACAAAATAACAATAATAATTGGTAGCAAAATAATAACAGACCTAGAAATAATAACAATAATAATACTTGCTACTATTGTTAATATACAGAATATATAATATATGAATATTAAGCTTTTATTTATAATAATTGTAATCAAATTGGTCATATAACAAGAAACTGTCAAATAAACTAAAAAATTAGAAAAACAATAATAATAATTACCAATTTAATAGAAACTTTAACAACAATTATCAAAATTAAAATAACTACAAACTATCTAATAACTATAACAATAATAACTTTAGACCTCCTAATAACAATAATAATTAACAAATAATTCTTCCAAATAAAGGATATGACAAAAATTAGATAATTTTTTAGGGGGAGAGAGGTAAAAAAAATTAAAATTATATATAAAAACCTGATTTTTTTTATATTAAAAGGAGGAAAAGGGGTAAACTTCTGATAAAAAATAATCAGACGATAAATAACACTGCTCTAACAATAACAACAATTAGCAACCTAATAACAACAATAATGACTAATGGTAAAATTTCTTAAATTATTATGAAAATCATATCAATACTTAAAATAATACTGATAATAATTTTGCTAATCAGAGAATAATTTTTTAAACTAAAAAAGATATCTTCTAAGAGTAAGCATATCACTAGTTTAAAGTTCTTACCAAAAAAAAATTAAATAATTTAGAAATTAAAATTATTAATTATTATAATAGTTTATCTAATAACAATAATATAAATAATAAAAACAATATAAATATTGGAACTAATAATATTAATGAAGAAAAACATATAAATAATATCTGGTTGGAGGATGACAATAATAAATATATTGAAATAAAAGAATTAAATCAAAACTTAGAACAAGAAAACTCATCAAAAAAAATTATACAAAATGTTCTATTTTCTATTGCTCAAATCTTTAATTACAAAATCAATATCCTTATTAATACTGGGTTAAAAGAATATATAATTACTAAACAATTTTTGGATCAAATTGAGAAACATATTAATAAACTAAGTAATGTTCAATTTGTAGATATTATTAGTAACCAGTTAGCTTCTTTAGAAAAAGTTAAAGATGTCTTTGTTAAAATTAGAACTAGTAAAATTTTTATCAATATAATTGTAACAGAATCATAAGAATATAATGTAGTTTTAAGTAATAAATATTTAGATCAAGTTAAAACCATAATTAACTATAGACTAGTCTAATATCAATTGGTAAAGATAATAATATTGAATATGTATCTATCACTTGTTGGAATCGAATAGAAAAATCTATTTAACTATACCTTATTAAATACAAACAATTAATCGATAAGAAATATGAATTGGAATTGAAAGAGAAAGATAAAGATCTAAATGATAATAAATACTTTATTACAAAGATCAAAACAAACAAATACTTTTTTTAAATTAATAATAAAATAATACCCAATATCAGAATTAAAAATAGTAAAAACAAATAAACTAAAGAAGTTGATAACCTATTTAAGCTAGTCAAACCAGAAATTGAAGCTAAAAACAAACCACTACTATCTAACAAAGTTAATATTACCAAAGATAAAACTATATTAATAAGATTTAATTTAGATAATGAATAACAAAATATTATATCAAATTTTTTAAAACAAATTCTAATATATTTGCTATCTAGTTCTTTAAATTGAAACAAACAAATATAGTTTATTATAATATATATCCAGAAAATGAATATTCTATTAAACAAAGAGCATATCAAGCATTTTCTATTGAGCAAAACTATATAAAAAAGAAATTACTAAAATAGAAAAAGAAGGAATAATTTATAAATCAAAAAGTTTTTGGAGTTCCCTAGTAGTACTAATTTAAAAAATGGAAAGCTAAGATTTTGTATAGATTATAGAAAATTAAATTCTATAACAAAAAAGAATACTTATCCTCTACCTCATATCAATAAAATGCTAGACAATCTTGACAAAGCCAAATAGTTTATTTCTCTTGTCTTAACTTCAGGTTATTGGCAAGTCGAAGTAAAGAAAGAGGATAAAGAAAAAACTGCTTTTATTACAAAGTTTAGACTATATGAATTCAATATTATACTTTTTAAATTTTGTAATGCTCTCTCTATCTTCCAAAGATTAATAAATATTATATTAGAGCCTGCTCTTTAAAAGTATATTATAGTTTATATATATATTTTTTTTTATAATTCGGCTACCTGCCATCATTTATTGAGATCAAAACTATTCGACAAATTACAAAAATTTCTCTCCTAGCTATATTGATCTACTGGACCTATAACTCACTAAGCTTTCATCCAATGTGATCTGTCTTGGTAGTCATTGGCCTCAATCTGGGTTCGAAATTTTTTTTAGACTTTTTTCCCTTCAATTCTTGGCTGGTGACTACAAGCTACTCATCTCGATATTGGCTTTCTTTTTAGTAATTAGAACATATAACAAAATTAAGAAGCAAAATAAAACAAAAGAAAAAAACACATCAACGAAGTTCAACCTAACTAAGAAAAAAAAACCAAAACAAAAATAAAAAAAACAAAACAAAATAAAGAAAAAAAAACAAAAGACAGCACTATTAAGCCTGTGCCAGACTGTAAAAATTATATAGTACTACTAAAAACTAGTCTAAACTCTATGCTAGTTATTTATACCTATATTAAAATATATAAAATATCTATTCTTGAGTAAAGATCCAAGTTCAAAATTTCTTGCAGTCCCAACAAGTCTACATCCAGCATTCTGCAATATATTCACGTATTTCATTCCTGGGCAAAGTTAACGTGCTAGAGTACTCAGTATAAATACTGCAACCTCTTGAGGTAACACGATCTTATATTATTCATCTCAAAGTATACATATACACATGTATGTGTATTTTCTTTTTGGGGGTCGTCTAAAGTCATATACCCACGTAACTTTTTTGTGTAAATCAACCAACCGGAATTGTGAAATTTTGTTTACACAGATCAGTCCAAAAAAGCTAAAAAATAAAAAAATGCAAAAAGATGAAAAACGACAGTTTTAACCTATCTTGGGCACTAATTAAAAATGTCAAAAAGGCAATTTTACTTATACCTCTCTTCTTATATTAACACCCAACTAACCTTAATCCTAACCTTAATTTTAATTTAAACGATTAAATCGTTAAAATCACGTGGGTATATAGCTTTAGCTATCCTCCTTTTTTGGTAGCAATTGTTGTTGTCGATCTTTTGATAGGAGTCTGTTATATTTTCCACTTTTTAGTGAAATTTCGTAAAGAGCAAAGAGTGGGTGTTGTAAAGGGTTTCAGTTAGCAAGTAGCCTTAAACTTTGATAGAGAGTGTGTTGAAAACTCGCTTGTGTTCTTCTAGACCAACTATACTTTAACTTCATTAGCAGAAGCTATGCTTTTATTAAAATTTTTTGTACAACATCGGCAAAAAAAATAGGCCGATATATATCGATTATTAACCATAATGGATATATATCGATAGTAATCCCCCCTGTTGGGTTATATCGATTAAGATATATATCGATATATATCCATTACAATAGAAAATCGATAAAAAACGA